GTTTATGGGGAGGAGTAGAGAAGTGTTAACCATTGTTCTCACTGCCTTTCACTAATTGGTAAGCTCTCTGAACACTAGAAAGTATTTGATAGCTTTTGCTGCATTGTATTTTGCTTATTCTTCAGTTTCCTACTCAGTCTTTCTTTCGTGTGTGTGTATATATACCTGTTTGTTTTCCAACCTTTCCTAATCAATCCCTCTCCCATCCTCAGTCACTTGTTCAGTTTATATTTTGTTAATCCTTCAGTTCATACCAGTACCCTACCTTTCTTATTTAACTGTTGGTTGCGAGTCCTTTCCCAATCATTCCCAGTTCCATCCTTACTCTTAAAAATAAAAACAGTTTGTTGTCTTAGTCTTACTATTGACTCGGGCTGTGTCACTTCCCGGATCCCTATCGCCTACAATTTTGGTACAAGTTTTTTTTTAGCTTGGGTATTCGTTTTATTTGCAGCCATGTTCTGTTTTCTGTGTCTGCCTTTTTTAGTACTTTGGCTTGAGCGTGTGTGCCAGAAAGTCTTATAAGTACATTGTACACAGTCAGTGCACAAGCATACAGTGAGTGTATAAATATTGAAGTTTTAGCACTAGCATGAGACATCTACTCGTAGTTATTGGGCGTGAGGCTTGCATGCCCCTCTGCACAGTTTTGACCCTTGCCTGTTTAGGCAAATGCCTGAAGACGGCTACAGTGTATAAATGCAAAGATGCCCAATGTTGGGGCTTTCCCTGAAAATGACACACAGATTATAATCCTGTCCTTCCGATATGAAAATGAGCCATCACCCTGCAGCTCAAAAAATAGTCCAGTGATACAGTCTCAATACAGAGCTCCAGAGACTGATCAGATTGTACCAACTCTGGTTCAAAACAACAACAAAAAAAGGCTGAAAAGGGGGGGCGGGGGAGTTTTAAAGCAGGCATGTCCAAAGCCCGTTTCGGGGGCCTAATCCTGCCCACCAGTCAATCTAATCCAGTCCCTGTGGCAGTATATGTCTTGGGGTAAAATTGTAAAGGGGAAAAAAAGCTCAGCAACGTTGGTCAGCCCTCGCGCATGTTCACTTCAAATCTGGCCCTCTTTGAAAAAAGTTTGGGCACCCCTGGTTTAAAGAAATGGAAATGAAAGAGTGCCAGTTATATCTGGACACATTCCCAGTTTAGAAATGAGGCACCAGTTTTTCACAGCAGGAGGGTAATGACTTAGCCAGGCGGCCATGGCAGGGAAACGGACTCTCTCCATCAAACGGAAACTAGACGCCTGTCTAAAAGAGACAGAAGATGGAAGGGCTTGATTTGGATGTCCCTCTTGGCTTTAATCACAGCTTTTCTCATACACTTTGGTTCTGCATCCAGTTGTCTGCACAAGCTTAGCACAATGATATAGACAGGCTAGACAACTGCCTAGGAGGACATAAATCAAAGGCACCACCTGGTGCAGGCTGTACTCCGTTCCCAATTTGTGGGAGAGAGCTCCTGCCCACCTCCCACCCCTGGAAGCAAAAAATCTTGAGCCCTTATTATGCCCAGGAGAGAGAGGGAAAGGACAGATAGTTAATTAGACAGATAGATAGACATGGACGCTGTGATATCTGTTTCTAGAAATTAAGGAGAGATGGCGCTGTGGGTAAAAGCCTCAGCGCCTAGGGCTTGCCGATCGAAAGGTCGGCGGTTCGAATCCCCGCGGCGGGGTGCGCTCCCGTTGCTCGGTCCCAGCGCCTGCCAACCTAGCAGTTCGAAAGCACTCCCGGGTGCAAGTAGATAAATAGGGACCGCTTACTAGCGGGAAGGTAAACGGCGTTTCCGTGTGCGGCTCTGGCTCGCCAGAGCAGCGATGTCACGCTGGCCACGTGACCCGGAAGTGTCTCCGGACAGCGCTGGCCCCCGGCCTCTTGAGTGAGATGGGCGCACAACCCCAGAGTCTGTCAAGACTGGCCCGTAAGGGCAGGGGTACCTTTACCTTTACCTTTACATTTCTAGAGGCTGGGACTCTAGACAATCTAAAAAGAAACACCATATTACAGTGGTACCTCGGGTTACATACGCTTCAGGTTACAGACTCTGCTAACCCAGAAATAGTGCTTCAGGTTAAGAACTTTGCTTCAGGATGAGAACAGAAATTGTGCTCCGGCGGCGCAGCAGCAGTGGGAGGCCCCATTAGCTAAAGTGGTGCTTCAGGTTAAGAACAGTTTCAGGTTAAGTACGGACCTCCGGAACGAATTAAGTACTTAACCTGAGGTACCACTGTACTGTATATGGATTCGTGATGAGAGAAATGCACACTGTGCCTCCTCAGGGGAAACTTTAACCATTTCTTACTTCAAATGTTCTGGAGCTCAGTCCTGTCACTGAAAACCAATGCAGCTCGAGTGAATAGCACATTTATATTTCTGTCTGCTCTGTTTTTATTTTTCTGATTTTTTTCTAATAATATTGTAATGATTTTTAAGCCAACTGTTTTCTTTCCATTAACCTTTTCTTTGTTTCTGTTAGTATATTTATGGGTACTTCCAAATGGGTGTTTGCTGTGGGATCAGTGCTCCTCATGAATGTATTTTATTTTATTATCATTATTTTTTGCAGAATCCACACAATGTCATGTGCACCAAAATGCCAGCCTATATTCCCCACCCCAACAAACTTCAATTTAATCTGGATCTTCCCTTTCTGGTGAAAATCTGATAAATTAAAAAACAAAACAAAACAAAAACCCCACTGCTTACCTACTACCCATCTGTAATACCTCAGCAACCTGTTTTACAACCCACCTGGAAGCACCCTATGCTATTAACCTATTGCAAGCAACCTGGTCATTGTTTGGTAGGAAGTAGTGACCCCAAGATTAAATTTATATAGGAATCAATTTCAGTCTCCAACTTTTCCAAACCTGTGTTTAGTTAGCTCCATTTCCACATCAGGTGTTTTTTTTTAAGTCTGCATGGAAATTTGTGCACAGTATCATGTATATTTATCATGCTAGCATTCTTGTATGTATTTTGCCTAATATACACATTTTAAAGAAACCTTTCCTAATACAATTAATTTTTGTGTACACTTTCCTTTACACTTTTTTTTGCATTTTGCAAATTTCAAAGGATAGCTGTGTTTCGGTTTTCCTATGAATGCAGAAAGTGTGAATCAGAGAGATTCAAAGGGAAAATGTGAGCTATTTGAATTTCTCCACCATCTCTAAACATGAGTACTGCTTCCAGACTGAATGAGTTAGCTACTGGCCGCCTCCTGTGACTTGACCCAGTTGCTTGAGTAATCTAACACCATTTGGTTTGCCAGCAGTCTTTCTACATCAGCTTTCTCTCTTTGGCACACTGGAACCACCAGGGCTGCATTGGTTAATCTGTGGGGACCAGCAGACAGGCAATTCTTTGCTATGGAACAGGGCAATAAGGGTGATTGTTGTTGGTGCCGTGACTTCGTCTTTCCTTCGAGCGGCAAGTTTCTTCATGCGTGGCGTGAAAGCACGAAGGAAAATGTGTGAGTGATGTGTATCCCCAGTGTCTCATGCCAGGAGGAGCTTGAACCAACTCCCCATAGACAAGATTCACAAGCTGTTCCTGTAGTACAGGGATGGGTAACTTTTCCAGCTGTTGCTGCACTACAACTCCCATCATCTCAGACCATTGGCTATGCTGGCCAGGGCTGATGGGAGGAGGTCCAACACCATCTGGAGGACCACAGGTTCCTATAGCCCAAGAATATGCTTCTCAGCATAGGGAATGTATGAACATCCTCCCATATAAACCAGTAATGCTGCTAGATTAACCAGTGGTCCATCTAACTGAGCAGCAGCACTAGGACTGGCAGTAGCTCTCTAGGATCTGAAGCAAGAGATTTTTCCTCATCCCAGTATCCTTTCTCACCCAGCACTGCCAGGGATAAAACGTGGGATGCTCTGTCACTGATCTATAGTCACTTCTCATATGAGACACCAGAAGCATGTTAGGAAGACATATGATTGAAGCACACACCTCATACTCTGCTTTCATGTTATGTATTTTCTTATCCTAAGATGTAATGCCAGCAGCAGAATACAAAATGAGCTAAAGAACTGACTCCTTTCCCCATTGTGTAGGTTCTAATGAAGACCCTGGTTATGGCCTACAGCAGCCATTGAAAACAGAGCTTGCTGAAGATGAAGGGTGAGGTGGTAGAGTTGAAAGGATATAGGAAGAGGAGAAACTCTACAAGATTTGAAATTTTTTTTGAAGTCTGGAGAAAGTTCAGATAGGAAACCTGTAAGAAAGCACATTGTCAAAGCAGAGAGATAGAGCAGAAGAGGCAAAGAGCTATTATTTCCAAAGAGAATACTTTATTGCAGAATCACTGGGGCTCCTTGTCATTGATAGAAGCTTCTGAGAGATGATTTAAACAAGTGATATGACCTAGGTTCTGTCACTCCATAAATGAAATTCACATTTGGTGTCTGGTGAACTCCAGTCCTAGAGCTGCAACGCTTTACTGGATTTCTGAAGAATTAGATTTGTCTGATATCCAGCTATATGAATGACCTTTGACAGCTGTGGCCCTCCCATTCTCTTTTTCAAGTTGAGCAATATCTGAAGAAGAATGAGGGTTAGAATAACAAAAACCTCTCAACCGGCTGAGGATTTTTAAAGCATGCTTCAGCATTAATTATCTAACAAGTACTTATTTGGGAAGCAGCTGGTGGCAAAGCTAATCAACATAAGGTGAGTAAATTAGCGGCAAGGGCCAAAAACGGATATATAATAAACACAGCAGCAGCAGGGCAACAATTAAAAGCAGCAATACAAACATAAAAGGTTATTTTAAAAACTCAGGAAAATAGAACTTCATTTATTTATTATTTTTATATTCTGCCTTTCCTCCAATAAGCTCAAGGCAGCATACACAGTTGTCTTTCACATATAAATTTTATCATCACAACATTGTTAGGTAGGTTAGGCTAAGACAACTACTGGCCCAAGGTCACTAGTGAGGTTATGGCGGGTGAGGTGTGTGGGGGGGTGAACCTCAGTTTCCCCCATTCTAGTCTGACACTCTTAACTACAACATCACGAATCTTTGTTTTGTTTTTTTGTTTTGTTTTTAATTGGGCTAACAGCTGCAGCAAAAATACACATCAGGCTGGCACAATAAAAATAAAGAGCTGAGCACACGTAGAATAAAATAAAACCCATTACTGTCATAGGCAGGATCATAGCTGTCAACTTTTCCCTTTTCTCATGAGGAATCCTATTCGGAATAAGGGACTTTCCCTTTAAAAAAGGGAAAAGTTGACAGCTACGGGCAGGATTAATCTTAAAGACATAATAGCACATATTTTTGAATCAACCCTAATCTACTGACAAGCAGAGAGAGGTGACACCAGCTCTTATTTTTACTGCTGCCTATTCAAAACTGCATTCCAGGACCAATTCACACATACATAGCTATCACTTGTTTGTTGCACAGTTAATGTATAAAAGTCTTTCCAGAATGGTATGGTCTGGAGGCACATGATGCCGTCACCTTGCTGAAGCTAAGCAGGTCTGGGTCTAGTTTGTGCTTGGATGAGAGACTGCCTGGGAACCACATGTCTGCTGTACTGTGTTGTGTTCTGTGAATGTGGAAGATAAATGTAACAAAAAACATTGATCATAGAATAACTGAGAGCTGAGAAATTCAGCAACGTCTACTGTATTTATATGTGACCCAACAAAGTCCCCACAAGAATAGGCAATGCAACCCCAAACCTGAGTATTGTACTCAAAGTAGGGTCATTAAACACACATTTAATATGCTATTAAAGATCCATAAGAAAACATGCACTTGAAGCAAAATTAAACTTACCAAGTCAGTGGAAAAACTGAAGTATAAACGGGCTTCAAAGCAATAATGTCGAAGCGAAGCAGGTTCAAATTCCAGTTAGAAGTCAAATCTCTCCAGTAAAAACTGCTCCACATTATTTTGACTCTGGCCTTCACCATCACCTGTAGGAGATTTCACTTCATTGTGTTTGAGATGTAATCCTGCAGGATCATTCATATCTTCTTCAGCTGCAGACAAAAAGGTACTGTTCACATGTTTTGAATACTGGAACTTAGCATCTAATGCACATGAACAAATAATACGGGACACAAACAAAAACCTCCAAAGGATAGGCTGTCAATAAGACTTCCAAATAAAGAGAGTTGTTCATTTGCATAGAATAAATACCCGTGGGGGAGTGGCAGGCTTTTATGCTGACCAAAACACAATCATTAAAATATCTGTACTTTCTTACAAATATGCATAGGTTGGGAGCCTGTGGCCACGTCCCTGCTATCCATGGGCAAGAGGAAGGATTTATTTTATTTATTAAATATATATATATATTTATATACTACCCTGTAATAAAAAATCAGGGCAGTCTGCAAACATAAAATATAAAAATAATTTACATAGAGCAAACAACTGGCTAGTCAAAAGATTTTAAATGGCTGCATCAGCCTGTCGGCCCATCAAAATTCAAGGGCATTTTTTAGCCAGACAAAAATATTCAGCGAGGGTGCAAAGCCATGCCTAGGGATGTGGTGGAGTGTGAGGAGACTCCCAAGGGCCAGACAAAGAAGCTTGGGGGGGCTGCATTTGGCCCCCCCCCCCCCCAGGCTCCTGAAGCAGCAGAAGGTGACAGGCGGCAACAGGTTTGCAGCCGCCATTTTAATTCCTCACAATCCCACCACCACCACCAAGCACCACTCTGGGGCATTGTGGGAAATTTAAATGGTGGGTACCCAGACCTAGCCACCTGCCAAGCCTGCTTTACTCCACAGTCCCCCTTAGACCATGAATAGGCACAGGAAGCTGCCTTAGGTTGTCTTGACTGGGCAAGGTGGTGCGCGACCTGCCTCAGGTGGAAGAATCTGGGGGCATCATTAGAGATATCTTTTTTCTGTTCAGTAGTATATGCATGCTATTAATAAAACTAAAGTCCAACATATTTTAACGAGAGTGTTTGTTATTAATTATAATTATTACCATAATGGGGATGGGTGCCTGGAGCATGTCTGACTGAGGGAAAGAAATCAGCATGAGGTTTCTGTGGCAACTCCAGACGATTGATTCTGACCTCAGAAAAATGCCCTGCACTAAGGCTGCTTTCTTGTTTCCTTTTTAATTTTCAAAATTGGTAGACCTCCTCTATCCCCATAAAGCAAACAGGAGGAGTTACAAGGTTAAAAAAGGATCATAAGGAGTCAGCTAGTAAGAAGGGACCATTGTGTGTCGCAGCTGCTACACCTGTGAGGTGTAATGATTTTGAGTGTTAGATTTACATTCAAAGCAGTGGTTCCCAAACTGTAGTCATGAACCACCAGGGGTCCAGGAGGCTCATTCAGGTGGTCTGTGGTGTGTCTGTGGGTTTGTGGCTGAATATGGGAGACGGCACGTCCATCATATTAAATATTCATATTGATTTTCAGTTGTATATTTATTGCTTCTTTCATTTCTTATATTGTATTACAATTTGAATTATATGGAACTGCAATTGCTGCAAAGGGCAGAAAAAAATCATTAAGTGGTCCCCGGCCCCCCCCCCCCGGCCCTCAGCAATTTTGAAGTGGCTCGTGGGAGTAGGTTAAATTTGGCAACCATGGATCTAGAGGGACCTGGGTTCAAGCCCAGTCCTTAGCCACAAAGCTTATTCGGTGATGTTGAAAACCGTCTCTTTAAAGCAAATTTGGGTTTTCTGCGGATTGCCATTTTTCAGTAAAGAGGAAGTTTTCGCTGGGAAAACTCTGGAGCGAAACAAAGCGTGGTTGCACACGGAGCTTTAAAATGTGGGCCATGGTGTAAAAAAACATGGAGGAAATTTAAGTGCGGATGGACCCTGAGCCCCAAACTGCTTCCCGGGTTTGTTGTGAGGATGAAAGGGACACACAGACACATTCGCACACCTGGCTCTTGGCCCTGAGTTCTTTCAAGGAAGGATGGGATTAAAAATACATCAAGCAAATCAATCATGGATTAGCGAAATGGACAACCAGGCCTCACTGGAATAGGGTGTAGCTTGATGGCTTACATCTGGCTGAAAGCCAGGACTCCTGGATTGTCCAGGAGAACAAAGTGAAATCAAGGGAGTTGCAGCAACCATTTGTGGTTGCTGTGGGAAGGAACTGGGGCTTGGTGTGACATAATGGGAAGGCCGAGAGCCAGGGCCCCTATATTCAGCTGTCTCCCACGGTTGGGTCCAGGAGCGATTGGTTTCTTCCTTAGCCTGACAGGGTTGAGTGACTGTGCTGTAACTCAATCATCGGCTTGGGCTGGTGGGCCAGAGCTTGGAGCGCAGCCCGGAAAACAGGGATTGGAGCCAATTACTTGGCTAATACTCCTGGCTTATCTCCGTGTAACCAGAGCCATCCCTGCGTTTTGCTGAGCTAGGCCCGACTCTGAGTAACTAACCACTGGAAGACATGTCTGGAAAGTGTGCACATGGCAATCATATGCAAGTTTGCTGGCGTGTAATACGTTTTGTTTTTTTAAGTCATTGATGGAGTTGTCTTGGGCAAAGCACTATATTTCAGCAGTCTACCTCAGCGTTGCTCTCGGCTCACTGACAAAGCTTTACAAACAAAATTGGTGTCTGAGGAAAGGAAGTGGGGCTAATATCCCGCCCCCCGCGCCGCCATCCGTATGCTCAAACTGTGTGAGCCAGTTCATATAATCTGTTATGTACTGAAGTTCTCACCCTGGGCCAGCAGGGGGATACTGTAGATAAGTTTTCACTCAGGTCCGCATATGCAAATAAGGGATTGAGTGACATTCAGTGATTGAATAGTTACAGAAAGTGGTTACTGTTGCGTTGTAGTGGAGCTCTATATAAGCAGGCTGGCTGAACCCTTCAGTTCAGTTCTGTTCTGGCTTGTGAATAAACAAGAGCTGTTTGAAGAATCGCTGTGTCGTCTGATATGTCCACCCACAACTTAACATAATCAACAAATCAAATTGTAAAGTCTTTCCACGGCTGTTCGATGTCGGGGTGCAAATTTCTATTGGGAGAGAGACAGGGAAATGCGTCCCTGTTAATTCTCCTCTGCCTCTCAGCAGCTTTTGATGCCATCAACCATGGTATCCTTCTGGAGCAGCTGTCTGAGTTATGAGTGTGTGGCACTGCTTTGCAGTGGGTCCGATCCTACTTTGATGGTCATTTCCAGAGGGTGGTATACAAACGTACCCTTTTCTCCAATCTATTTATTTGGTGGTAATGGTGGCTCCAGCGAAGGCAGCAAGCGAAGGAGGATGGGTTTCCCCTTCTTCCTCTGTTGTCTGGTGTTCTGCTATGCAAGTAGCTGCTGGGAAATTTATTTTCCCAAGGACAACTGTAGTGCTTGAAACTCAGCAAGCAATTCAGATTGATTGCCATCACCAATCTCCATTCTTCCATTGCCCTTATATAATTTTAATATAATACGGTGTGTGCCTTGAACTCTCCCCAGTTCTAGAGGACAGTTAGATAAGACATCACTGCTTTTCAGGGTGGGATAACTCACCATTTAATAATTAGAACTGACATCGGAAAATTAATTTTGGGCCAGAGTACAATTCTGAACCAAATTCAATTTAGTCTAGTTAGCCTGGGGGCGGAGTTGAGGAGAGATCTGAAAGTATACTGTATTCTCTAATTCAGCGTTGTTTTTGTACATTCCAAATAAATTTTCCTGGACCAAGCATATGTTCAGAGATGCCGTTCTTTCATTTTTTTAATAGTCTATGTTGTCCAGGACCAGTACCACATTTGAGGGAGCCCTTGGCAAATTGCCCTCTTTTGGGGCTCCTTCTACATTGATAGGACCCCAGTGGTGTGCTTAGCTGGTGGTGACAGTGGCAGGCAGTCATTTTAATTTCTCAGAGTGCCCCAAAGCGACACTGCATTGAGATTGCTCTGAGAATATAAAATGGCCGCCTGCCACTGGCAGGTGCAAGGCAACTAGGGGAGGCACTTGCATAGGCGCCGACTCCATGGGGCTTGAGGGGGCTCGAGCCCCCTCAAAAAAATTTTTGGGGGGGCTCAGCCCCCCCAATAATCTCGGGCGCCGGGGGCGGGGGCTCCTGCCTCGCTGCTTCGCAGCACCACCGCCACTGCCAAGGCACTGCCGGGGGGAATTTCCTTCCTCCTGGCGGTTTCAGCCCCCGCGAGAACAGGGGAATCCCGACTGGCCACACCTCCCAGCCAGCCAATCGGCTGGCTGGGGGGGCGTGGCTTGCCCTATTTAGGGCCGGAGCCACTTTATTTGCATATTCATGAGCTTATTTATTATTCATGAGCTTTCCCGGGCCCCCCCAATATTTTTTATAAGTCCGCGTCCCTGGGCACTTGTAGCAGTAGTGGGCCTTGTCAGAACACTATGGGCCACATCCTGCTCTACACACTTGTTAAACATATCAGGCCCAGCCACACTATTAATATATTGCGTATACATCTTGCAACTACATGTGATGTTGTGCCGGACCATAACCTTCCTCTCTTTCCCTGCCTTCCTTTGAATATAACCCTACTGGTCAAAAACCTAGAGGCAGCTGTTATTGGGGAGAACCAGGGAGCCAGTAGACTTAACATTGAGCATTTTTGTGAGCACAATTATAATTCCTGTAAATGTCTCACACATGCATGCATGCACATTCTCTCTCACTCAACCACATGGTGCACTTGCTCCCCATACCCTGGGGCTACCTGGAATTTGTCCAGCTGCAAAGGCTGCAGTAATTGTCCTCTTCTCTCTCTGGGGACATAATTAAATCCACTCCACCAGGCAATGTAAAATCTCGGAAAGGACAATCCCTGAGGCCTGAGAGGCAAGGAATCTTTCTTTGCCCCCAAAACCTCTGCTTTGGTTGCCATGTTCTAGAAATTGTCTCCGTCCTGAGCAAAGTGTGTGTACATAACGTTGGCTAATTACCTTAACTCCCGAGTTTCTCAACAATATCCCTATATGACGCTTAAAATCTATATCCACCAGCAAATATGGTGGGAATTTGGAAAATCTAGGCATCTATCCGTTTCTAAGTTACCACAGAACTGTGCAGCATTTTAAGAAATCATGATATGCTCTCTGCTTTTTGCTTTGAAAGGCTTCTCCAGATGACCTGTTCAACCTGTTTTGCTTGCACAAATCTTATTGTGCCTGTTCTTTCTTGAGCATTCATTCTGACTTGTTTGCAGCGAGGTTATAGAATCACAGAACTGTAGAGTTGGAAGGGACCGTGAGGGACATCTAGTCCAACCCCCTGCAATGCAGGAATTTTCTGCCTAACGTGGGGCTCGAAATCACGAGCCTGAGATCAAGATGCTCATCATGAGCTATCCCAGAGCCAATGTTGTATGTTGCAAAATTAGCAGATGCACTGCAAATATGAGCGTGTGTAGTCTATAATAACCTCCTAACAGTTCGACTCCACCCCCAAAGGCACACTCTTCCATTGTCTCCTGAGACAGGCAGATGCCAACTAGTTTATAATGTATACAACTGTAGGAAAAAGGGACTGTCACAACATTTGTGGTTAAACAAACTGAGCTATTTTCCGCTCACATATTATATTTTAGTGATGAGCTCCACATGTATGTATATAATAATAATAATTTACGTGGTATGCTGGCCTATCAATTTATTGTCACATGGATTTTACTCCTTACGTCTTCATCAGCCACTGGTTTCGAGCAAGTTTCACTGCAAGTTTGCCTATTTTATAACAATTCCTTGAGGCATCCAAGCAAAAAATTTATGTAACTCCCCTGCCAATGCAGAACTTGTTGACAGGGGCCGAAGAGCCTGCGCAGCCGAGGTGAGCTGTAATAGTCACTCAAAACAACTCCCTCTACGAGCATCTTATGGTGAACTGTCACCGGATCTGCCACCAGCCGGCAGAGAGCAGCTCCCAGGTGTCAAGATATAAGACTCAAGCCTTTCTGATGCTCGGTTACAAGTGTCAACACAGTGTTATAATATGCCAACGAAACAAAAAGTTGAAAGAGGTACTCATCGTACCAGTTAAGGATTAGAAGCAGTAATTATTTGGGGTTTACTTTTAAAGCCCGTGACCCAATTGCAAAGGCTTTGCAACAACCCACAGGTTGGGGAACTCTGCTCTAGGAGAACGGACCCACGGTGCATTTTGCTCTTGCGTTAAGCAGGATAGAGAGAAAGCAGGCATATATATTTGCATTTTAACTTAAGCATCCTAGCTAGCGGCATTTTAGAGCAGTGAATTTGCATTCTTCTGTTCTCCACTACCTATGTCGCTCCAGACCGGACCACACCAGATTTTACTATGTGTTTGCAGCTTTTTGCAATTCCATTTAATTTATGTAACACCAATTTTTATGCTCCCCCCACCCCCTTGTAAATTAGAGTGTCTCTGATACAGGGATAATCTGACAAATTGGGTAAAACTGGGCTTCAAAGTGCTCCACTCAGGGTCACATACTATTTGTTTCTGTGTTTTGGGGTGGGTGGATCAATTGACACTTTCTGCTACTCCCCTTCCCATAACCACTATAATTCACTTATTTTCTATTTCTTTCAATCCATCAGATTTGCACAAAACCGGAAAACTATACCACCAGCAAAGCACATTTTAAAACAATTCTGCACCATATATATCTGGCACAAAGTGTGTGATGAGAATTTACAATAGCTTCCATTTATTTTCCCTCCTTCGCCTTCTGCTCTTGTTTTTTCAATGCCCTTTTCCTGCCTTCCTTTCAGAAGCCAACTGTTCTTATTTCAAATTCTTCACTACTGGGGAGAATGCTCACATCTTCCAGAGGACTACTAAAAAAGGTGAGTCCATCAACCCATTGAAAACAGGGTGCCATGTTGGCCCGTTGTGCAAAATCCCAGCAGGAACAAATTAAAAACGCCCGTGTTTATTATGTTATTATCCCACCATTCTGCCCAAGAGCTCAGAGTGGTTTACAAACTTAAATAAACTATCAATAAAACACAATTAAAACGATATATGACAATGGCCCTTTATGTCACTTCTAAACAGGATTCTTCAATGCTGGGGCAGCCAATCCTCTTAAAGGAATCCTAGATGAGAATAACAACAACAGCTTTATCTGAGCAGTTAACAAACAATATTTAAAGAGGTAAAGGGTCGGGGGGGGGGGTCTGCTACACATAGGCATTTGTATCTCCTCACCATCCAGGGTACTTTCCTCCAAGCAGGTGCCACCTGGCTGGGGTAAAAGCAACAGGAGAGACGGATTTTGAATTACCATATTTTTCTGTGTATAAGACTAGGTTTTCCCCCTAAAAAATAATGTCAAAAATTAGGGGGCATCTTATACTCTGGGCCATCTCTCCCCCCCCCATTTTCTTAAATATGAGTCTCCCAAAATAAGGGGCATCTTATACATGGGGGCTGCAGTATAGACGTAAAAATACGGTAACTGAATTGCCCGCCATTTTATGCTCATCTGTTTTACAGACTTTGGGTGTGAGGGGTAGGATAAGTAAATACTAAAAGTGACAGAACAAAGGAACGCTTCAGCTCACACAAAGACATGACCCTCCGCACCTCTTTAGTCTTTTCTACCACACACGCCCTACGTGATACATGTACAGGGAAGGACCACTCTTGAAGAGCAAGAGTCTCTGCCATCACACACAGTGCATTGTGCAGGCTTTTGAGTTTCACAGAGCTCCTCCCTCAGGCAGGCCGTTCTACAAACTGAAACTCGAGGAGAAAACGGGGGTTAGTGCTGGGACTGCCACATGATTAAGGGAATCGCAGTCAGTGACCCACGTGTTTTCGTGAATGAATCCACTGAGCAATCATTTGGAAACACATACATTTTTGTTTTTCTTAAAAGCAAGAGCTCTCTGAAGCAACAGGCGCCCTTCCTTTTGTTTTTGCAGCATGTGTCATGGTGAACATCACCACAGTTAGAAGAGTGGGAGAAAGCCAGGAGGGATTTTGCCCAGCACCTGCAGTTTTATACAAGTCCTTGAAGGCAAAATAACTTTCAGAAAATTAAAAAGATCTGCCCATGTTTTTGGTTGATTAGTCAATCCATCACTCCTGCCCTAGTTTAACAGGAGTGGGGTGGCGTGCTGCTGTCTAAAGCTTTTAAAAACTGTTAAGAATCTTAACCTTAAGCAGGCTATTTAGGTTAAGGCCCGTGCCTTGTTCAGAGGATCTCAGATTACACAGAGGCATGCTGGGAGAGACAAGCAGTGGTGGGCGGCTCTCCCTTCGAAAACATAAAATAACCTACAGTTAGCTGAATCTCTCTCTGGCATTCCTCCCCGTCTGCAGCCCAAGGTCCCTTCAGGCTGGTTTACCAAGCCGCTCTCCAGCTGCCCTGTCCCATCTCCTACACTTCCATTCTTATCGGGCCTCACTCAACACCACACCTCAGCCATGGCTGTTTATCACACAGCACATGATTGTGTGGCTGTGTGTCCCTGTAAAGCCACAGAGGCCGAGCATTCCCTTCTGTGCCACACACACACACAGGAAGCAGGTCAAGTGGGTAATTGTGAATCCGTCACTCTCTGCGTCTACAAATGTCTGCTTTATCTCCCTCCTGCTGGCTTGGTTGGCACCGCTGTGTAGAACTGAACATCACGGCGGCCATTGTGTCCCTCGTCAGCATCACCCTAATGGCCATGGGGTCCCTCTGCATCACGGTGGCTCTGAGCAAAGGGGTTGAATTTCTCCTGAAACCAGCATCTTGCTTCTTTATCATCTCAGGTAAGGCAGCCCACCCTGCAAAACCTCCTTCCCTTGTTCAGGCCTGCTGCCCCAGCTGCTGCGTTCCTGAAAAACAAATGTCATTGCCAGGCAACCTCTTTATTGGGCATTTGTCCTAATTTGCTCGCACAAAATTAGCAGAGAGGTTACACAACCTTTTTTAAGTCGATGATGCCCATCTCATTTTACTCTGTGACATTTTTTAATCTATTTTATTCTCTTTCACTCTGTTGCATTTTTTATGTGCTTCCTATTTTGTTTGCTTGGCACTGGGCATCGAATGCAACAATAAAGATTGGGTATTTTTTCAGCAGGGAGGTTACACAATGCTGTCTGGTTTGGATCGTTCTTTTTTGTCCGTGCAGAGGTTATACAATGCTGCATCAAGCAATGGTTACCCTACGCCTTACTTTCCCATTGCTTTCCTTCATGAGTAAAGGGGGAGTGGACAGAAGCAGGTTTGTTGCAAAAGAACTTCAAGACTACTTTAATTGTGGAAACCTAAGCTTACTAAGCGGAGGGACATGGGTGGCACTGTGGCTTAAATTACAGAGCCTAGGACTTGCCGATCAGAAGGTCGGCGGTTCAAATCCCCGTGATGGAGTGAGCCCCCGTTTCACAGTCCCAGCTCCTGCCAACCTAGCAGTTTGAAAGCACGTCAGAGTGCAAGTAGATAAATAGGTACTGCTCCGGCGGGAAGGTAAACGGCATTTCCGTGCGCTGCTCAGGTTCTCCAGAAGCGGCTTAGTCATGCTGGCCACATGACCTGGAAGCTGTATGCCGGCTCCCTCGGCCAATAAAGCGAGATGAGTGCCGCAACCCCAGAGTCGGCCATGACAGGACCTAATGGTCAGGGGTCCCTTTACCTTTAAGCTTACTAAGCAGGACGGCTATGCTCTGCTTCCATGGCTGAAGGCAGTGATGCATCTGAATACTAGTTACTAGAAGCCATGGCGGGTTGCAAGGAAAATGCTCCTGTACTCAGGCCTGCTTGTGGGTTTCCTCCAGGCACTTGCCTGGCCACTGAGAGAACAGGATACTGTACTAGATGGGCCAAGCACCCAGAGTTAAGTGAGCGACTGGTGACAGTTAAAAGAAAGCACAACACAATGTACCTTCATGTGGTCCAGTTAACTCTAAGCCAAATGTCTATCTGGGAAACTTCCCATAGTCCTTTGTTTGCGGTCTTCGTTCACAACTAGAATTTGGGGGGGACGCCAGGGATGGGGCAGGGAGGTCGTCAAAACTCCCAGGACTGCTTTCTCACTTGTTCTCTCTCCCTTTCTAGGCATTATGGTGCTTGTATGTCTGGAGGTTTTCCGGCACTCGGTTCGGTGGCTTATCACCTCTGATGAGACCATCCCGCTGGAGTACGAGTATTCCTGGTCCGTGGCTTGTGCAGTGGCGGCTGGGGCTATCCTGATCTTTGGCGGAGGCTGTTTTATCCTTTTGTCCATCCCTGGCTTGCCCAAAAAGCCCTGGGAATACTGCATGAAAAGCCGCAGCAGCAGCAGCAACGCTTCCTAAAAACCGTCCAGGAGAGAATCCCAAAGTCTCTCTTTCTCTCATTCTGCCAACAAACACAATCATACACACACACACACACACACACACACACACACAAAATATCACACACACAAACAAACAAACATACATATACCTCCACCCACCCCTAGGGGGCAGAAAGAACCGACCTTCTCCCTCCTACATGCCTGCCCTCTTTCTCCATCCTCTGGACTCAGTTTTTTCCCTTCCCCGTGTTGTGACTTGTAAATAGAACCTCTAGTGCTTGTTTTGTTTTAGATTGGCGGGAGGGGGGGCGGCTATGAGGAAAGGGCTCTGCTTGTGAATGAGGGGACAGCTGTGCTAATGAACTGAGAAATTACGAGGGGAGGGAGGATAAAGGGCTGTATTTTAAACCCGGTTTTTATAAATGGCTATTTATAGCTCAATGGAGGGGCCGTGTCTTGGACTCCTTTAAATCTACGCCATGCAGTCAAGCGTTAGATTCTTGTCTCAGTTCCCCCCTTGAGTGATGTGCCACGCTGAGCAAAAATCCCAATCTTCCCCCTGTAAAACTGAGTTTCTTCCTTTTTCTTCTTCGTACAACCTCCAAGTACAAAAATTAAAAGCACCCTGTCCCCAACTGGCCCTATGACTCGGTGGCAAAAAGCCACACACAGGATCAGCCTAGAAATCCCAAGGAATTATGGACAGGTACCCTGAAACACAGGGCAATTTTTAACCAGTCATTCTGGGTTAGAAATTCTGGGTCCATAATTAATTTCTGTCAAGGGCCCTACCAGCAGCCATGAAGCTCAGTGCTTTCAAAAGTGAGGGGACTTCCAGACAAACTGCTTATTGGGCACCCATCCCTATTTGTTTGCAAGAAGATGAGGCAGTATTGGCTATTTAATGAGCATTACGGTAATTCTGATTTGTCTGTGAGAAATTTAGGCAAAGTGGCATCAAAGCGAGTGCCATGCCACACTTTCCTGTGCATTTCCCTGTCACTTTCCTTACTGCAAAAAAAGCAGATCCTTTGGGAAAGCGGGTTCGTTGCACAAGCTCTCCCAATCAACTATAATTGTGCACCCTGAATTTGCCGGTACGCAATAAAATCCCACCAGAATATAGTGACAATCTGGAAGCCCCCAAAATGAATTTAGAGGCAACCTTCTCAAAACATGAATTTTTCCTGTAAAAAAGTAAATTTATCCTGCTTTCACCTTTAAAAAAATAGTTAACGTTTCCCAGTTCTTCCTGTTGTTAGAGGTGACGTATTAAAGAAAGCATGGAAAATATTAAATGCCAAGGACTCAGTCCAGCTGGCAGCTCTTCCTCAGGTGCAGTTCTCTGCTTGTGGAGAAAAGGTGGGAGTAGAAAATGCCCACCTTAAGAGCACCGTGTGGAGAAGAGGTACTAGGGGAACACAAAGAGCAAGTGGATCATATCCTGAATTCAGGGCATTTGTGCTCAACAAGACTCCTTAAATCTTAGGTAGTTGAGATAAATGTTATGGAGAATTTGGCAAAACCTATAAATAAGGGGAGTGGCATTAATATAGAAAGTAATAATAATAATAATAATAATTAATAATACATACTTCTCGCAACTTGAAATTCCAGATTTGACTTTGTAAATGCACCACTTTTTGAATCTGGGGAAAGTTTCCTTTCAGCCCTGGCAAAGACCATGCAGAGAGCTGTTGGCAGTCTCCCTTGAAGCTGAGAGTTCAGGAAGTTCTGTACCACAATCTTATTATGGCAATACACCAGAAGCAAGTGCCTTAAACAACAACAGCTGTGCAACGGAGGCTGGCCCATCAGGGAGGGTGGGGCACTGCCTCACCTGCCTCAGTATACCCTCCGCAAAAGCCTGCCTGCCTTCTGCCTTACAAACGAGGGCGTGGGGCTCGGCCTGGCTTGGCTCTGGCTCCACCTGCCATTGGTCTCCCTGCCTCCTACCCAAGCACTCCCAGTGAACACCAGTCACCATTACAACTGTGCGCTTCCAACTCTCAGGCACAGCTGTTAAAAGTTTCAGCCGATTGACCTGTTGATTAAAGTTTGCAGACCTTCTTGTCTTGGGAGGCTCAGCTTTCCATACCACACATAGCTGGGGGTGCACTCATGAGCCCATTTAAAAAAATAAAAAATAAAAGGAGGAAGGGTATACCTACCAAAATATTTTTACCAAAGCAACTGCCTTTTACAAATTCTTTTAAAGTTTAGCTCTAGGCTAGGGATGCGACCTTCCAGAAGTTGATGGACTCCCATCGGAGATAGTGGGACTTCAAGAGAATCTGAAGTGCCACAGGTTCTCTAGATAGGATGGGCATTACATATTGGTGCAAGATGCTCTCAGCTGGACTCCTTCCACCTTGCTGACATCACTCATTCAGTCTCCCTTTACCTCTGGCCCCAATCCCCACCACCGCCCAGAAGGAAAGGGCGGATGAGTGAACAGGCAATGGCAGTGACTGCCCCTTCTCATATTTATTGCTCGGTTGCATGATCCCACTAGGCCACAGGGATACTGTGGGTAAACGTCATAGGCGCCGACTCCATGGGGCCTGAGGGGGCCCGAGCCCCCTCAAAAATTCATTTGGGGGGGCTCTGCCCCCCCAATAATTTAAGAAAATTATTAGTTTGGCCTCATTACGCCCCCCCCCCCTGCGCGATTCTCTGCCAGCCGCTTCATTCCGCTTCCACGCGCCTCGGATAGAAGGTGACGCGCGCCGCTACCTTCTGTCGCCTCCGTCACCATTTATGGGGAAAAGCAGGAGGAGGAGACCGGAGGCGCCCAAAATAAAACTGTAACGGCATTCAGCACTCCGCCTCCCCGGTGGGATCCCGCACGGGCGGCCGGGCAAACGACAAGCCGAGGGAGAAAGTCTGCCTTTCAGCCCCGGCTGACTGACAACTTCCCGGGGCAGGACCCCGGTATGGGCCCCCCCAATATTTTTTATAAGTCGGCGCCCCTGGTAAACGTGTAGCCATGGAAAGGGGGAACAGCAGCGCTGCAGGGCCCTCTGTGGAGGCATGGGCCTTGGCAGCTTCCAGATGATGCCAAGCCTTGATGGCAGCCCTGGCTCTAGGCTGCATGCTTCCACTCTCCAGCATAAGTGTTTACTTCCTGTGTTTACAATCAACACTGACCAATGAACAGATTGCAGTTACCTTGCAGCATAACAGACCCACTCTGAGCAAGGCTATCGATCTCCCCACACACACACTGTTTGCGAACTGGATATTGTGCTAATAATGCTCAGCTGGGGCAAATGTGCTTAAAAAAGAAAGAAAAAGAACTTTCCCTCTCCTGTGATCTGAAAAGGCTCTCCATGTTCTTATAATTTCAGGATACACTGTCCAAGCCTTACCATGAACGAGCCACTGAGGCATCGTTGCCAGGCTGTCCGTTCGGCTTTGCATCTAAGTGAATTTCTCCATGAAAGATTGGGGTGGGAGTTGGAGAGAGAACTCGTTTTCCTTGGTGTACTCTGTGTGCTGAAAATTCATGTGTTGGCTTGGGTTGATGGGAAGAGACGACTGTCAAGTTGTAGCATCAGCGAGCCAGGTGACAAGCGGAACGCAGATCTAAGGGCAAAAAAGCAAGCTTTGAGAGAAGATGGGAGTGCTATGCTCTCTAAAGTGGAAAGAGGTTAAGGAATAAAGGAGAGAGGGAGCGACAGGGACTGGGTCCCATGGCAGGTGGTAAAAATCCAGTATCACCTGGATCTACATCATGGAGACTTTATAGCTGTTGAGACTCTTGGGTTCTTTTACAAACAAACAAACAAACAAACAAACAAACAAACAAACATGGTTTCTAGCCCTTAAAGATATTTTAAAGGATAGATGGCATGAAAGGAAACCATCTTATCCATGGTGTTCAGGCATCCACAAACTTGTGGAAGATTACTGAGATTATGGTTAAGGTGCAAACACACAGACTGCTAGGGTGTAGTGGTTAGAGCATTGGGCTGGGCTCAGGAAAATCCAGGTTCAAAGCCATGAAACTCCCTTATTAAACTTGGGACCAGTCACTATCTCTCAGCCTAACTTCCCTCATGGGGTTGCTGTAAGGATAAAATGAGGGTGAACCATGTACACTGCCTTGAACTTGGAGGAAAGGTAGAATACAAATAAATCTAGTAAATAAAATATAAAAGAGTCCTCGCAACTCCAACTTCCCTGAGACCTCTAAGTCTCCCCTCACTACTTATCAGTTTCTCCCCCTTGTTTTTGCCTTCTGTCTGAGACTTTCTTCCATCCTTATTTTCTTAGCAGGCTAAAGATACAAGACTGAGCTACATCACTCACCCAGGCAATTTATACCTAGGGCCCATTAATGGTAATTGCTCTTTAAAGCTTTAACACAAAAAGGCAAACCGTAACCATGGTTGCCCTGCTGATGAGAGACATCGCTAGGTTAGGCCTCATCCACACTTGTCCCATGCCTAGAAAGCATAGGTGTGAGAAGTTTCCTGCTTGTGCCGTGTTTTCTAGGCATGGATCCAAGCCACTTCCTCCCAGAAAACCCACTCTTTAGTGCTAAATAGGAACAAATAGCAATCCACAGAAAACCCAATTGCTGTTTGTTCCAATTCAGCACTAAAGGGTTCAAAGGGCACTCGGGTGCAATGATGAAGGTTTGGGTGCTAGGTATGTGGAGAACTTGAGAGTTTTGGTGTTCTGAAGATGTCTGTGTCTGACAGTCTCAGATCCTCTCCCACCCTGATTAATTGCGAACAAGCAGTAATAAGGATTAAGCCGATCTCACAACTGTATTGAGTTAGCCCTGCTGCTAATTAGCCCTAGGCGCTAATCGCTGATCAGAATTAACTGTACTTACCCATGGGAGGCAAGAAGCACACACACACTCAGATATATATCCAACATTATTACTTGCTGATCTGTGCGCACATGTGAAGTAGCCCTACTGGGCAGACCAGTTTGTATTGCCCAGAACCACTTCAGGAGGGTGTAAAGAGTAACTTGTGGCATCCCCAGAGGATCATTTCCAGATGGCTTTGAGGGGCTTGGCCTATTTCCAGGCACACACAGTATTAAAACAGGTGGCTCTATTCAACCCGTAATCCACTTCTAACACCACGTAGCATCCTGTGGGTTTGGTAAGGGTACTCACTGGGGAACCATGCCACAAGTCTGCCCTAATACCAGGGAAGCAGCAGGAGATCTCCATTTCATTACTTGCATTTATTCATGAGCAGCAGAACAGTAACTCAACCGCTGCACAGACAAGGTTAAGGTTACATTGGGTTCCTAATGAGCTATGGAGGTAACCAAACCCAAAAAAGGTGAGAAGAGTTTCTCACAGAGGCAAGGCCGGTCTCTTAAAGATACAGGCTGCACTGACTACCCTGAACAAACATTAAAAAAAAAAAAGCAGGCCCTTTTAAGAGTGCGCACCCTATAAAAAGTTTCCTTGGAATTATTATGCCACACACACAGGTTCCTTGGAGGGCCAGCATGATCCAGGGGCAAATAAATTAATGTAAAAGTGTTCCCGTTGGTTAAAATGAGTTTCCAATGTGCTTTTCGACCTTTTGGTAATGCCTTTTGAACAGCACAGATGTGAAAACAGAAGAAGCAGCCGTTTAAAAAAAAAATCAAATTATTAAGAATCAGAGCAAACGTATCTTCTGCTCACCACAGCATGATGTTTACATTACACAGAATTATTATTATTTCAGTTTATTATCCACCTTTCACAATAATCTTCCAGGGCAGGCTACAGCGATTAAAAAAAATAAAATATTAAAATCAGTTTGGAACAAGAGAAATGCCAAAAAGCAATTTAAGACAGAGATACTCCCCTGCCCTACCTCCCCAATACAAAGAGCCATCTTCATTTTTCGCCCAGGCCTGAGGCCTGGCATCCGCTGTGGCAAGGCCAGGAGGGCTCTTTTGGGGCATTGTGAGGGAAGGTGAGGCGGCGGGGGGGGCAGCAATTGCTGGAAACTGTGCATGGCTTCTTCTGCCCAGCCGTTGCTACGCAGGGAGCCAGCGGCCCATCTTCCATTCCTCCTTGTCAGCATCTCAGCCTGGGGACAGGGCGTCCCCACTGGGGGTGGGGGCAGAGAGAGAGAGGGAGAAGGGGATGCTCTCCAGCAAGGAACACGTCTCTCCCCTCGGTTATTCTGGTCCTCCTGCCCTCAGGCTCTCCAGTTACACCCTGAGATGTAAACAGGGCGAGGGAGCTTTTTTTGGTTCTCGGCAGTGTTTTGCGCAGCAAGGGAGAGGCAGGTCGGGAAAATACAACCCGGCAGCCCTGCTTCCTAGCAACCTCCAGGAGCACGCCCTTTTTGTTAACCTCCAGTCCCTCTTGAGGGAACTCTGGTGGGGCATCCATCCCGGAGGAGCAGCTTTCTCACAGCCCTGCCAAGTGCTGCACCTGTTGAATTTCTTTATCTATCAATGTCTACGGAAGCCCCGGCAGGGTTTTGTTTGTTTTTAAGCTGCAGCTCTACCTTATGCACGCTCCTCTCATCAAACCCAGGAGTCCTGGCTCCAACCATAATCTGTTGTATGTGCACTTAAGGAATAAAATTGCCAACTCAATGGGGGGGGGGTGTTCTTGAGCACTTTTTTTTTTACTTCAAGAGGAACTTGATCTGATTAAATCAGCCAGTGAAGCCTGTTTGGGGATGAGAACAAGCATCGTCATCTGATAATATTCTGCCATCCAATCGGTTAAAAGTGCAGGAGGAAATGCTACCTAAGAAGTTGGCAACCCTTCTAAAGAACTCAGAAGTCCTTGATTTCAGCTGCATCCATAATCTGTTATATTCCCCAACCATCTTTCACATTCATCCCCAGAGAAACTGAGGAGTTTTCCTAACTGCTGCCCTCCTCTATGGCTGGTAGCCACATTTTAGATTCAGGTAGGTAGCCGTGTTGGTCTGATGCAGTTGAAAGAAATTAAAAAATTGTCCAGTAGCACCTTAGAGACCAACTAAGTTTGTTCTGGGTATAAGATTTTGTGTGCGTGCATGCACACAAAAGCTTATACAGTGGTACCTCAGGTTAAGTACTTAATTCGTTCTGGAGGTCCGTTCTTAACCTGAAACTGTTCTTAATCTGAAGCACCACTTTAGCTAATGGGGCCTCCCACTGCCGCCGTGCTGCTGGAGCACGATTTCTGTTCTTATCCTGAAGTGAAGTTCTTAACCTGAAGCACTAGTTCTGGGTTAGCAGAGTCTGTAACCTGAAGCGTATGTAACCTGAAGCGTATGTAACCCGAGGTACCACTGTACCCAGA